TTTCTACACAAAATAAAATTCAAAAAAAACCTAGCTTCAAAAAATGAGCTTAAAAACCATAGATCTAGAGAGAGAGAGAGAGAGAGAGAGAGAGAAAAAGAAGTGACCATCATAATGTTCAGCTTGTTCAGCGAGCTTGGCTGTGTAGACGAAGTTGTTGCGGTCTTTGATGGAAGCCATGGCCGATCTGTGAAGTTAGGGTTTCGTTTCTCCGACTTCGATTGTATCAATATATATATATAGTGGTTCAGTGTGTAATGCATTTGTATGGGAGAGATGATGGAAATAAAGTAGATGAAGAAGAGAGAGAATAGGAGGAGGAGAGAGAGAGATGGATGAGGAGGAGGGTAAGGAGAGTAGGTTTGGGAAAATGGGGGGTTGAGGAGAGAGAAGAAAGGAATGGGTGTGTTTATGAATGAAGAGAAAGCGAGAGAGAGAGAGAGAGAGAGAGAGAGAGAGAGAGAGAGAGAAGAGACAGAGTGAGTGTGTGATTGAGACGTGGATACGATATATATAGACATAGGTAGGTTGGTCATTTCACAGAAACATATCGTTTTGGACTTAATAGTATTTTTGTTTTTTGTTTTTTTTTATCAATATAAATTTTCATTAAGATAGGAAAGCCAAATAGCACTTACGAAGGAATCTAATCCAACAAAATAAAATTTTACACCAAATAAAGAAAAAATCTGAAAGAAAGCACAAAGGAGAGGCAATGAATATATGAAGACACAAAGCTCGTACTTGTGAAGCAGAAGTCGATCATAAGAGTTCGACAATAGAGCAAGACTGAAATAAATACATAGGCTACATTCACAGAGAGGTAAGCCACAATCAAAGTACGAATGGAAACCTAACTACACAACCAAGCACCAAAAACAACAGAACAAAAAATAGAAATACAAGAAAAACCTGTAGACCCTAACGAGGAAGAGGCAACGGTGGAAATGGCGGCTAGAGCAGATCTGGTGGAAATAAGGAAGTAGAGAAGGAGTAGAGACAAATTTGGTAAGAGTAGGACTGTGGAGGCGTAGTGGTGATAGATTTGGTGGCAGTGTGGCGGTGATGGCGCCGAAGAGAAGTAAAGGATGAGAGAGAAGGCAAATCTGGTGAATAAAATACCTCACAAGAAGGGAAAAGGTTGGAAAGACAACGCTTCCAAAGTTATTAAGTAAAAAAGCAAATAAAAAGGAAGAAAAAAAAGGATGGAAGAAGGAAATAGGAGGTTGGAGGCTGGAACCTCCTCCCCACCCCAACGACAGCATACCTAAAAACCCTAGGAAATGAAAAGTTTAAAGAGATAAGCTCTGAGTTTAAAGAGAGAAAGGGGCTAGGTAAGTTTGGACTTGAGAGTTTAGTGTGGATTTTAGGGCAAAAGAAATTCAAATTTGGATTTATGGACTGAACACCCAAAAGAAATTAGGCAAAATAAACGAATACTTTTTTATATTCTAAGTAGTAAAAAATGAGAAGTATGATTGAAATTGCTCTAATTTGAAAATTTTACTATGTTTAAAATAAAATAAAAATAAAAAAAGATTTGGCTTCTCTCAGGTTGGGCAACCAACTTGAGAGAACATTTGGACTTAACAGGCCCATTACACGCTCAATCTCGGTGATTCATATTGTTCACCTTTTTAGAACTCATTGAGAAAAACATTCATGTAAAAAATCAAGATGATTAGATTTTGGTAGCTATATGTTTGAATCACATTTGTCTTTAAAAAATGAATGATAATTTTTAAAATTATATTTGCCACCCATTTTTTAAAGACAAATGTGATTTAAACATTTAACGGTTGAAATTTAATCATCTTAATTTTTTATATGAATATTTTTCTCAACGAGTGCTATAAAATGAACGGTTTGGATCACCGACATTAGGCTCACAATGGAGGTGTTTGGTATGGATTATAGGGGTGATTATAGTTTATTTTAATTTGAGAATCTGAGCCAAACTGTTTGATATAGCTTCTGCTTATAGCTTTTTAGGCAAAAATATGTTAAATAAACTGAGAAAAGTTGATTATTTAGAAACTGGAGAAGAGATGCTTTTGGTTTCTGTTTTCTGCTTATCAACTTTTAGCTTACTAAGCTGCACCAAACAGTACCAACGGATCTAGTAAGCCCAAATGTTCTCTCAAGTTAAATTGTAAAGATGAGAGAAACCAAATTTTTACCTAATTTAATGGCTGTAAGAGCATCTCTAATGATTTGTCATTAGAGCTGCCAAAACTATAATATAGTAGCTTTTCATCAAAAGTTGTTCTTCAATGGTTCAAGATGATAGCTCGTAAATTTGACAAATGTCAAATGTGTCAACTCACCCAAAATCAACTGTTTACTTCATTCCCTTACTTTCTCATCCTTCCTAGCAAAACAGAGATCAGGGTGAAACAACAATTTTCTTGAATTTTTTGTAAAATCAAATTCACAATTTTTGTTTAAAACTTTAAAACATAAAAAATTTTAAAACAAAAATTGGGTGAAATTGCCAAACCCTTCAAAAATAAAATTAAAAAAATTTCACAAAATATGTATGTATATATATAATTAGACAACAATAACAATGAATCAATTTCAACGCAATCAAACAATTAAGTGTATTTCAAGCAAATATATATTAAAAAATACCAAGATTTCAAGATGCTTGATGAATTTTTGAGACAATTTCAACACTCTGAATCTTCCGCTTCATCTTCTTCATCTTTGTGCTTTGTTTTCATCTTTTTCTTCATCTTCTTCATTGGGGTTTGAGGTTGGGATTTCAGGTTTGCCTGTCAAGGACCAATTTAGGGTTTCGATCTCTCTCGATTTAGATTGAGATCAAGAGATGAAGATCCAAAAGGATCTGAGGTTTGGTGGTGGAAAGAGGAGAGTGAAAGAAGAAAGTGAGAGACTGATGAGATTTCTCGAAATCAATTGAGTACAGTTTGAGTGGGTGAGTGGGATCCAAGGGCTTTGAAAATATGGAACCTAATTTCCAATGTATCAAACCAAATCAGAAAAGTTTAGAGAGAGAGAGAGAGAGAGAGAGAGAGAGAGAGAGAATGATTGGATTGAGTGATTTGGAGAGAAAAGAAAAGAAAAGAAATTGAGTGATATGTATTTCTCTTATTTGTTTGGATAACATAAGTAGAGAGAAATGGGAAAAAATGGAGAGAAATTGAGAGAAACTCATTTCTCTTATAAGCTTCATTTTCAATCTTTCCAAAAATAGAGAGATTGGGAGAAAAAAGAAACCACTATTTTCATAATACCAATTTTGTCTCTATAAAAATAAAAGAAATAAAATGATTGAAAATATTGAAAGGTTATTTTGGTAATATAATATAAAATAATTTCTTTTCTTTTCTCTTAATGAAACCTAACCAAACAAGAATGAGAGAAATGACAATCATTTCTTTTCTTTTATTTCTTCCTTATCCAAACAAAAGGAGAGAAATCACAATCATTTCTTTTCTCTTATTAATTAAGTAATCATTTCTTTTCTTTTCTCTCCTAGATTCCCAAACATAGTGTTAGGGTTTTAGGTTCATCTAATGAGGGATGAAGATGGAGAGATAGAGAGAGAGCCAACGGTTTAGAGAATGAAGAGAAATAGAGAGATTGGTCATATAGTATGGTGTCGTTGGATAATTGGAAAATAGAGGTCTGAAGATTCTGACTCTCTCAAATGGCTACCTATTGTAATTTATTTATTTATTTATTGTTTGAACTTGCAACAAATTTTGTATTGAATGGCTATAAAATTTTTATATTTGTATCTCCCAAAAATTTTAATTTTTTTATTAGTTTATTGTCTAATTGGATAGAATGTAAATATTTAACTTTTTTAGAAAACATTTTAAAAAGATCATAAAAGACAAAAATAAATAATAAAAAAATCATTCAAAAATGTATATCCAAACACTATTGTTGATGGAGAGTTTAAAATAACTTTACACCATTTGAACACTATTGTTATAATTTGACAAATTATTACGGTAACATGCCAAATTATGACTTCGCAATATTATTTTGACAAATACCATTCGAGAGCTCTAAATGGGGAGCCTCTATTTACACACCGTAATTTATCTTAAGGCAAATCACTTCTAAAGGCACACCTTTAACAATTTGGTAAATAAATATTTTGCTCAATACACATCACAAATTTACATATTTACCCTTACTGACACACCCTACCCACTGCAATAAACTCACAAACTTCCATCTTTACCCTCACTCACTCACACACCCCACCTACCCACCCACTCACGATATTCCATCTCCCCATCCATTCTCTGTTCAAACTGGTGAACACCCATTGCTCAAAACACTGTTTTTCTCATCCAAGACGTCGTCGGTGGTGCTCAACACAGTTAAAAACAACTTCGATTCAGTAGGTGAGTTATGGAAAAACCAAAAAAAAAAAAAAATACAAATGTTCGGCAGTACAGAGTCGAATTAAATGAAACTGTTCGATTGTGTTTTAACCGAACATATGGTTTTTGTTCGATACTTACAAACTGATTAATTGGATTATGTTCGACACTATGAATCCGAACAAATACAATTTGTTCGGTTTTAGTTAGTCGAACATTGATATATTATTCGACTCTGGTTAATCGAACTAATACTAACGATTTATCACTCAACAAGTAAACGAAAACGGGAGAAAAAAAAAACAAAAAATAACATTTTCCTTGGTCCATTGTTCCGAATTAGTATTACCAGATGTATCATTCATTGAATCCAATCAAAATCTTCAATAATACTATATTTTTGATTATTTGTTTAAGGATTTTTGAATTCTTGGCAGACAAGATACGTAGGTAACAAGTTTGAAATTATTGATATGCATTATATTCATTTTTATCCTTTATGGTAATTATATAAATAGTGTGTATCATAACTTGCCTTTTATAGTCATTTCACTTAAGATTAAAATTGTAATAATAAATTAATTAATTAATTAATGATATGCTTTAAGAGGAAAAATGTTGCGTAAATAGAGCCTCCCTAAGGCCGGGCCCGAAGACACAGGATCTTTACGCTTCATTTGACCCTCATCTCTGTACCAGATCTACTTCCCAACTTTGACCCAAATCCAACCAAAATCACATCGACTAAACCATTCACTAGACCACACCACACCACACTAGTAGTGTCATCACCTCCATTAAACTCTGTTTCCTCCGGATTCTGTGGATCCAACTCATGGGATTGGGCGAACAAGAAAAAGAAAACAACCAACCCCTGTTAATCTCAGCACCATACCAAGAAGAACAAGAAGAAGATCTCTACAACCAGCAACAAGAATCAAACACTGGGAATTTGATCAGACGGACATGGGTAGAGTCAAAGAAGATGTGGCACATTGCTGGACCCTGCATTTTCACCCGCCTCGCCATGTTCTCCCTCACCGTCATCACTCAAGCATTCGCCGGTCACCTCAGCGATCACGACCTCGCCGCCATCTCTATTGTCACCACCGTCATCATCGGCATCACCTTCGGCTTCTTGGTCTGCTCAAACTACTTCCAACTTCACTCACTATCACTTTCCTCATTTCAACTAAAACAATGTTACTATTTGCTCTGTGAATTGTTAATTTGTATCCATATCTTATCATATAAATACGTAAAAACAAAGACATTAATAGAAGGGCAAATTACAAATATCTCTATCGAGGTTTATCTAAATTACAAATATCTTTGAGGTTTCGGAAATTACATCCCGCGCCTGAGCTTTGTATTTTCATAACAATTTGTCCTCTAAAATTTATATTTTATAACAAATTACTCCTAATCTATTATGCAAATATAGCATTCAGGGAAAAATTTATAATTTCTCAAAACTCAGAGCATCTGTAATTTAACCAAACCAAACCTTGAGGGGTATATATAATTTGCCTTTAATAGAATTTAAAAAAAAAAAAAAAAGTCATTGTTTTCATTGTTAATACTATTTGATAGGTTATGTGCAAGACAAATGTCAATTTTTGATTCATTCATGTGACAAATAGTTTACGAAAGTTTATATTGATATAAATTGATAGCTAAAATGATGGTGATAAAGTATAATTTGCCCAAATTCTTCAATTTACACTATCTGTTTTGTCTGACTTGTGTTGATAGCTGGGCATGGCAAGCGCGCTTGAAACACTTTGTGGCCAAGCTTATGGCGCAAAACAGTACCATAGGTTGGGCATATACATGCAACGCTCTTGGGTTGTGCTTTTCCTTAGTTCAATTTTGTTATTGCCTCTTTTTGTGTTTGCTACACCTATACTTAAGCTCACCGGACAATCAGCAGCGGTGGCAGAGCTGGCGGGTGTGGTGGCGTTGTGGTTGATTCCGATGCATTTGAGCTTTGCATTTCAGTTTACATTGGTGAGGTTTTTGCAGTGCCAACTCAAGACGGCGGTGGTTGCTTGGGTGTCTGGTTTGGCACTTGCACTGCATGTGTTTGTTAGTTGGTTGTTTGTGTATAAGTTGAGAGTTGGCATTGTTGGCACTGCAATTACTCTTGATTTCTCTTGGTGGGTTTCAGTTTTGGGACTGTTTTGCTACGTGGGTTGTGGTGGGTGTCCTCAGTCTTGGACTGGTTTTTCCGAACAAGCTTTTGTTGGGCTTTGGGATTTCTTCAAACTGTCTGTGGCTTCTGGGGTCATGCTCTCGTATGTGCTCTCTATATCTCTCAATGATTTTGATTTTGAATTTGAATTTGAAATCTACTTGTTATTTTTCAGGTTGGAGAATTTTTATTATAGAGTGTTGATTATAATCTCAGGGAATATGAATAATGCTGAAGTTGCTCTTGATGCCCTGTCCATCTGGTTGGGTCTTTTGTGCTTTGGTTTGCTTATTTATCTTCATTGCCAATTGAACTGTTTTTCTTGTTCTTAACATTTTAATTTCTTCTTCTTCTTTTTTTTTTTTTTTGGTAGCATTACGATCTACGCCTGGGAATCCATGATTCCCCTTGGATTTTTCGCAGCAACTGGGTATGTTAATGGTTGTAAGTCTATGTCCTCTTCTCTCTTCCTGGAATTTTAAAACCAAATTTATCCAAAGTTAAAATTATAAGATAGCAACGGAAGCTTATGGGGATAGAAAAGCAAAATGCACTGTATATGAGGTCCCATCCTCCAAATGAAGCCTCATTTATCTTGAAAATCTTTGTATATCTAAAACTCCACAAAGGAATAATTTTTGTAAAGCAGCATCTTTTCTCCCAAAAGAAAGGAGCATCTTCAGCACAATGTTCACATGACCCTTTCACTAGGAGCATGTGTTGTGACACTTCACACTGTCTCCTATACCCCATCAGTAATAATATGCTGGTAGACCTTTTGTTGTGTCCATTTCAAAGTTTCTAAAGGGGAATGGGTAACAGAGGCATGTTATTCCTCCTGAGGGAGGTGTAAGCATTTTGAAGTTTGAACTTTTATACTGAGTAATTAAATAAAATTGGACAAATTATAGTTACACCCCCTGAGATTTGGGTTTAATACATATCACTCCTTGATGTTTGGAAAATTACACTAAACCCCTATCATTGTAATTATTTAGACAGAATGAAGATATTAAACTCATGCACTCTTTGTTTTCTTGCTTTACCTTACTTCCTCTGTTATTTTTTTTTTTCCCCTTTCCTTTGCTTTACTCTTTTTTTGTTTTTTTTAATGTAATTTCTAATGTTTTTCTATTAGGAATTGTTGCTTTTAATTTAAGCAAGGAGGTTTATGAAATGAGATTATTAACCACAAGGGTGGGAATGTAATTTCTAGAACGTTAGGGGGTGGGGATTTCATTGGACCAAACCTTAGGAGTTGTCAGTGTAATTTACCCTATAAAATATTTTAAAATATTAAAAATTAAATATAAACGTATAAAAACTTTTCTCCTCAAAGTGTAAAACATTTCAATGCAGAGAAGGAAACTTGTCATCATCAAAGGTGAAATCAACGTTTTTAGCTTCAATTATTGAGCTTCTGGCCCTATGAAGCTGACATTTCAAAACAGTTGTCGTAGCGGTGTTGGACACGGGGACATGTACGGGACCCTTTATTTAATCAATTTGTTTTTGGGGGACATGCCAACTAGTTTTTTAACTCTCTTGATAGATATTGGATATTAAATGTTAACTACTTTTTGTTTAGATTTAAATAATTAATAGATCATTCATAAATATGACATAAACGAAAGAGTTAGTTTAAGAGTGAAGTATTTTTTTTTTAAAAATATTAAATTAGTATTAATTTTTGTTAATTTTTACTATTTATAAATTTAATATTAATCTACATAACAAATATATATGCATAAAACAATTTATTGTTGTGTCACTGCCATGTCCGTCTCTCCATTTTTTTTTAAATCACCATGTCCTGTGTTCGTGTTAGCTTTTGTGTCCATGTTTCTTAGTTCTGGCTTGAGGCTTAGCTTTGTGTCGTTTCCTTGATTGGTCATTTGCTTGATCTTCACATGGTGGCAAGTAGTCTTCATGCTTATGCACAAAAGGTGTATAAGATGCACACCTCATACTGTGATGCTCTAAGCCTTTAAGAAGTGTCGCCTAAAAATCGAAACTTCAATGCATTTTTACTTAGCCTTGCCTCAAGGCTAACCTCAATAAAGTTGTCTAAAACTTTGTTTTCCATTAATTGATCTAGGTCTTAGGTTGAGCACCATGGTCTATTGATTAAAGGCATTCTTTGAATATTTTGTTTATTGTGGCGTGGCAATCATCATATTAGCTTTGGTGTATTACATGGACTTTGAGATGAATGTGTTTCTTCTCTTATGTTTCTTATTAGGCATCTGTTGATGCAAGATATATTTCTACTGGTATTATTTTATTATATTTTTTTTGAACCAAAAACATGGTATTTTTGTCATACCACAAGTTGGAATAGTGTAGATTTTATTGTTATTCCATTATTCAGAATGTATCCACCTTGGTAATAGAGCATGCCTTCAGACGTTATGGAAAACATAATTTGTTGATCTCTTTTTCATGGAAGTTTAAACATGCCATTGTTTGTTGGTTGATCATCAATTTATGTGTAGCCATTAGTATCTGGATGCCCCTTCATGCTGCTCTTTCTATCCCAGTGCTTCTTTTTTATTTTATTTTGTTGTTGTTAGAGAAGTGCGACAGCAGCATCCATGTGTGATATTGAACTTTTGACACATCTGTTATTAGCTGGTTTGCAGACCTTTATCAATCAGGAGAAAAGAACCTAGATGGCATTTGATGTGGATCATCTTCTCAACTATTTTGTTAGTAAGGGGTTATTTGGGATATTCTAAATAAGTGCACTTTTTGACTTTTTATGAAATATGGGTTGGATCTGGGTTGAGTTTGAAGTGATATGATAGACAGGTGATGTGACTTAAATAAGATAGTGACTTTTTGACTTTTTTAAATTATGACCGCAGTGAGGCACATAGGCTGGCTTGACAAAACTGGAGTAACCCTGACGCTCCTAGCCGCGGTCTGGTGCCTGAACACCTACATATATATGTATATATATATGAGCAGTGAGCTAAAGCCCAGTGAATAACATAATGCGTAAAGAGGTTAAGAATGAATGTCCTTACAGTAACGAAAACAGTTCATTAAATCAGTATTTTCAGTCGTTCAGTCAGTACAGTCATATGTGGTACATCCATTAGCATAACAGTACAGTAAATAGTAGGTCTTAAAAGACCAAACAGTAGTGATGGCCATCAGTCAGTAAACAGTAGTGGTTCCAACAAGGGAACCGACAGAGATCTCTGTAACAGTAACAGTAAACAGTAAACAGTAGGTGCTAAGGATGCCACAATACAGTTCAGAATATAGGACATACATTCATTCAATTAACGGTATTCAATTCAGAAACAGTACAGTTTAGTTGTTCAGAAAATAATCATTTTTGAACATATCTTTACACAATCGTTACTCACAGAGTTCTGGGCTACAGTATGCTAGAGCGTGCCTCCCCAGTCGCCAACCCTACACAGTTCACAGGTTGAACACACACTAAGCTACACAGTTGGGAAATATCATAATTTAACCCTTAATGCCTCGGTGTGTTCTACATCTATCCTCAACAAGATGTCTTAAACTAGGGCTAATAATGCCTAGAATGGAATGAGGATGCAAAGATGTAATCAGAAGAATATTTCAAGATTTTCAGAAAAACAGAGTCCCGCTTGAGCGCAGGTTTCCCCGCTCGAGCGGTCATGCGACAAAGGTACACGCTCGAGCGTCAACTTTCCCGCTCGAGCGTACTGTAAAAGTACTAGATGGGTGAAATCTCCGCTCGACGCCCGCTCGAGCTTGAGACATGACTCCGCTCGAGCGCCCAATCCTCCGCTCGAGCGGACTGTAAAACAGTGCAAGATGCTGGAAGCTCGATTTTCCCGCTCGAGCGGCACTTCCCCCGCTCGAGCGGAAGTGCAGAATCTGGGAATTCCATATTGCACCTCCAAGCTCAAACTCGCATTCAAATGCATCAAAACCGATCCTCTTGGGCCCATTTTCTGGAAAACATTTATAAACACATAGAATAACATGTTTCAAAACTCAATTTTAAGAAATCAAAGCCCAAGGGTGTTTGATTCAAATGCAATTTAAACCATTTTTCAAGCACAAGATGAACATGCAAACATGCATGAATTCAAACCATTTTGAAGCTCCAAATTTATGCTCTAAGGAGCCAATTGATCCAAGAACAAGTTGAAAACATGGACCATTACAAAATTATGGACATGCATGCACCATTTTGCCATGAACTCAACTCCAAATTCAACCAAGAACACATGCAAGCATGAATTATGCTCTATATCAACATGTATGAACTAAAACATAACTTAGCTCTACAATTAAACATGGACCATGCAACAATCAACTTAAAGACAAACCAAAAGGATGAAATTCATACCTAGGTCCCTTGAATGCAAGTCTAGTGGTTCAATTATGGAGTCTATACATCAATTCTTCAATCTCTCCAAGCGATTCACCAAGTAGAACTCAAAATCAACTCAATTCTCTCTCACTCTCTATCTTGGTCGGTTGAGCAAGAAGAAGGGCTGAGCAAAATGTGGTTTGGTGGGATTTTTCTTCTCTACTCTGCTGCAGGTCTCTTCTTCTTGCCTCCGTCTTGGATGGCCCTTGACGGTGTTGCCTCCGGATTTCCCACGCCACTGAGCACATTTACTCCCTGCTCCTCCACTGCAGCATATGGCGGCCCTCCAAATCGGAACATCACGGTGGCCTTCCGCTTCAGCTCTTTATTTTCTGTTTTCAGCACACTTATCTATGCTCGCGCATCCTTATACATGCGTTGGAGCAGAGCCAGCTGGGCGTTTAAATGCTGCACCTCATTTGTCCTACTCTGCAGCCGGTTCGACAAATTTGTGACCGCCGTCATGGTTTCCACGCATGACTTCAGAGTATACTGATTAGCCTCAATATCAGTTTGCACCGCCATTTTTTGCTCCACCGACCGCATCGGAAAGTTCAACGGAGCAAACTCCGGGGCGCTTGGTTGAGGTTCCAATGCCACCGCACCAGTTCTCTCTCTTGTTGACTCGTTGAGGTCGGGAAAGAGGGTAAGCAGTCCACGGGAAGACGAAGACGAAGCCATTTTCTGGGCAACAGAGTGTTACAGACTCTCTCTCTCAGCACAACAAAGAGTTTTTCAGACTCTCTCTCTCAGCACAACGAAGTTTTTTTCAGAGGTTTTTCGCAGCTTTTCTCTGCCACAGCCTCTGCCTCAACCTTGGTTAAATAGCCAAGGCCGATCCGCGCATCGCGCGCCACTTGCCGACAGACGACAAATGGGCGCGCAAGCCAAGGCGCCCACGTGCCTCGCCATCATGTCCGTCACACCTTTTGATGAATTGGGCACGCCTTTTGATGGCACGCCTTTTGATAAAATTGGGCACGCCTTTTGAGGGTGCAACTTTTACATCGGTCCGACATGACCCTATAAACTGTCCCGACATTTGATTCCGGTTAGCATCTCCAACGGTCCGACATGACCCTATAAACTGTCCCGACATTTGATTCCGGTTAGCTTTTTCAACGGTCCGACAAGACCCCATAAACTGTCCCGACATTAATTCCGGTTAGCATATAGTGTCCTCTACAACGTTATGACACCCCCATCCAGTGTCCGCTACAACGTTATGGCACACCCATCCAGTGTCCTCTACACCGTTATGACACCACCATACAGTGTCCTCTACACCGTTATGACACCACCATACAGTGTCCTCTACAACGTTATGACACCACCATCCAGTGTCCTCTACCACGTTATGACACCACCTTTCAGTGTCTTCACCGACGGTTTGACACGACCATACCGTGTCTCCTATCTTTTTTTATTTTTATGTATTTTCTTGTTTTGTTCCTCTCTCCAAACTCAAGTTGGTTAGTTTCTATCCTCCTTGAGTTTGCGGGGGGCTGTTAGAATTTACCATCACCTACCACCTCCACTACCACACACTCCACCTACCACCTCCACTTCACTCCACCTACCACCTACACCTACTACCACATTTTCTTCTATATATAGGAATTGTAAATAACAGATCAAAATCAATCAATTAATCAATCAATAATACATAAATTTTTACAACTTCAATGCATTTTTACTTAGCCTTGCCTCAAGGCTAACCTCAATAAAGTTGTCTAAAACTTTGTTTTCCATTAATTGATCTAGGTCTTAGGTTGAGCACCATGGTCTATTGATTAAAGGCATTCTTTGAATATTTTGTTTATTGTGGCGTGGCAATCATCATATTAGCTTTGGTGTATTACATGGACTTTGAGATGAATGTGTTTCTTCTCTTATGTTTCTTATTAGGCATCTGTTGATGCAAGATATATTTCTACTGGTGTTATTTTATTTTATTTTTTTTGAACCAAAAACATGGTATTTTTGTCATACCACAAGTTGGAATAGTGTAGATTTTATTGTTATTCCATTATTCAGAATGTATCCACCTTGGTAATAGAGCATGCCTTCAGACGTTATGGAAAACATAATTTGTTGATCTCTTTTTCATGGAAGTTTAAACATGCCATTGTTTGTTGGTTGATCATCAATTTATGTGTAGCCATTAGTATCTGGATGCCCCTTCATGCTGCTCTTTCTATCCCAGTGCTTCTTTTTTATTTTATTTTGTTGTTGTTAGAGAAGTGCGACAGCAGCATCCATGTGTGATATTGAACTTTTGACACATCTGTTATTAGCTGGTTTGCAGACCTTTATCAATCAGGAGAAAAGAACCCAGATGGCATTTGATGTGGATCATCTTCTCAACTATTTTGTTAGTAAGGGGTTATTTGGGATATTCTAAATAAGTGCACTTTTTGACTTTTTATGAAATATGGGTTGGATCTGGGTTGAGTTTGAAGTGATATGATAGACAGGTGATGTGACTTAAATAAGATAGTGACTTTTTGACTTTTTTAAATTATGACAAACAAGGTCTAAATTAATAAAGCATGAGATCTCACTTGTCAGTTTTGATGTTGATTTTAATCATGAATCATGTTGAACTATGAAAATTTGAAACATTGATGAAATATATTTAAAGAGAAGAAGCTGTTTAATTCATGAAATTTTAAAAGTCTGGTTTAAACCTCCAAACCTCGTGCCATGTTCTTTGTATCTAAAATGGCGTATGGAATAAAATTACAAGTTTGTTTGGTTTCAATTTTCTGGATTCAATTTTTCGAAAATTGAGTTTTTTGTTTTTAGTGAATATTTTTAAAATTTTATGCAATTTTTTTTTAATTTTTTCGATGCACCTTACTTAGATGTATCTAAAAAGTAAAATATTTGTAAAAAAATCAATAAATATACAAGAATACGACAAAATTACTAACTTTTTTTTTTTGGTATTTAGTGAATTTTTTAAAAAAAATTCACAAATATTATACTTTTTAAATGTATTTATGTTAGGTACATCTAAAAATTAAAAAAATTGCTTAGAATATTAAAAAAATTTAGTAAATACAAAAGAAATATTGAAGACAAAAAATTTCAATTTTCTGAAAAATGAATCCTGAAAATCCAAACCAAGCAATGCAAAATGATGATGGCACATCATGAAGTGGTATGTTTCTGGCCAAAGAGAAACTCTATTGATTCTAAAAATGGGATGGAAATTTACTGTGATTTCATCACTTGAAAATGGAGATGGAGACTCGGTTTTAGTTTTAGTGGTGGATGAGTGTAGCCAACGAAAGTGAAACTGGTTAGCACAGCACTCCTATAACAATGGAAAACTATATATTGGCAATATTGAAGAAAATAATAAACAAGCTTTTCTAACCATGTAATCTACTTGAAATACAGGGTACGTGTAGCTAACGAACTTGGAGCAGGCAATGCGGAAGGTGCCAAGTTTGCTACTATCGTCTCAGTTTTCACTTCCCTAGTCGTGGGTCTTTTCTTTTGGTTTCTGATCGTAGACTTCCCTGATAAGCTTGCAATGATCTTTACTTCGAACACTTCTGTAATTACAATGGTCAATGAACTAGCATTATTGCTGGCATTTACCGTTCTTTTCAACTGCATTCAACCAGTACTCTCAGGTGTGATGTCTATCAAGAAACTTGGATTTTACGTTTTAGGATCCAAATTAAAGACCGTAGATAATTTTTTTCTGTTGTATTTGTTTGTCAGGTGTGGCAGTCGGATCTGGTTGGCAAGCATTGGTGGCATTTATAAACATAGGCAGCTACTATATTGTTGGAGTCCCTCTTGGGGTTATCTTGGGCTGCTTGCTCGATTTTGGCATTAAGGTATGTCGTACCCCACTCCAAATTCTGAGACTGTTAAGAGGCAAAATTTTGAATATTTAGACCTTTGTAGAATTAGTTTGAATTCTCAAATTACCTTTTATTTCATGTCACACCGAGCTTATGCAATAAAGCAACTGCACAATCAGGTAATGAACAAATTTCAAAGCAATAATCAAATAACCATTTTTTGTGCGGTCCATTTTAAGTACAAGCTCATTGACCAAATTGTATATCCTTGATTTAACATGCACAAATCAATATATTATAGGGTATCTGGGCTGGAATGATCAGTGGGACTGTGGTTCAAACATTGATATTAGCAATCATCACAGTCAGATGCAAATGGGAAAAAGAGGTAAACAGTGCATTTAATAGAATGATAATTTTTCCATTTTTCTTAAAGCAATGACCATCTAATTTCGGTAGATATTGCTCACAGGTGCAAATAGCTCGCATTCATATGACCAGTCAGGCAGCAACCGAAGGATGACCACTATATGGAAAATGCGTAGTTGGAATTCTTCTACTCAAAAAAATCTGATGTCTGTATGAATCACAACATTCATTATTAATTTAATTCATGGTTGGTAAGGGAAGTATTAAGTGACTTATTTCTTGTCATTCTTGTTTTTGATCATTTGAGCTATGGATTGAAATGGGCTTGGTGTTATATTGTCATCAATCCAAATTTTGGAAAATTTTGTAAATCTCCTTTACTAGAGCATTGTTTTTCTAGTAAAATTAAGTTTCCTCCTAGTGTTTGATTTGTGTGAGTTAAAGCATAAAAGGGTGACCTAATACACAAGATTCCTGCTAAAGTGGAGCCCAGGAAGGGCAAAATGTATACAGCCTTACTTCAATTTTTAGAGAGACTATTTCCTTGATCGGAATATATGCCACCAAGATGCTAACAATAAGTCTTACCATTGAGCTAAGTCACTCTGTCGGGTATTTTATAGTGTCCTAATTGAAACTTTTGCTTTTGGAAAGCTCTACTTGTTAGGCTGACTTTGAATTATCTGTAGCTAGGGTTGGATATGGAAGCCAAAACCTTGGACAATTTGATTCTTCTTGATTGCCCAAAGTAGGGTTTGAGGACAAACAAGGATTCTGGTTAAAATGATAACCAAAATCTATTAACTTTTCAATTCTTAAATTTGAGGAATGTCATAGCTTCATGGTTGCTGGATTCAAAATTTTGTTATGTCCTAAAGTTTAAAGCGGTAGCATTTTTTTCGTTTTTTGTATTCATTTTTCAGAAGCACAGAACAATTCAAATAATACAAATCAGTTGAAAATTGAAATAATATTCTTACCTCATTGGTAAATCTCCTTTAAAAAATACTAATTGAAGGCGATATGGAAAGAACTACAATTTCATCTGCTATTGCTATGAAAATCAAAATAAAAGAGATAATAATATATCAAATTTGGTAAATTAAAAACAAAGCAAAAGTGTAGAGAATTACTTGACTCCACTCTCTAACTAAAGATCATATAATGTTAGTTTATCCTTAATTGGAATTGGTGAATTCCTCAACCAATTTTGTGCACAAATAAAAACTTCACAATTTTTGGAGTTAACAAACTACAAAATAGGTAGGTACTTGACCACTAAATAGGTCAAGTACTAACTGCAGATTCCAAATCAACAGTATAGGAATGGATAAAATGTCACCGTGCCATAAGAAAAAGCACATGATATGTAGAAGCCTCCATTTTCCATCAAGCTAAAATGTCGAAGTGTGGGGATTCATCTTCAACCTCTATCTTCCAAATCAATTTAATGAACCACACTTTCTTCTTCCTTCAAGAATCGATAGCAACGTGAGTTTTACTGCCTGGCTTTCGGTCTTCTTGGTTCAACTTTAAGCTTACCGACTTTGACTCAATATCAGGATAGATGGGGGCTTACGAATCAACTTCATAATAGATAGGTGCACGCTTACTCGAAATTAGGCATGCCTAGTCGAAGCTCCTCTGGTGTGCCTGAGCGGAGTAGTCTTTGCCTGCACAAGCAAGCAGATTAGCTCCCTCATTCTCTTCTTGTGCCGGAAGCCACCAAATCATCCATTTTAACATCATTCCTACCTATGGGGCAGAACCAAAATTTCATTTGAGGGGGTGCCGAATTGGTATTCCCTCATTTTCATTCGAATTAATGAATTAGAAATGGATCAAGCTCCATCTCAATTTTATCCTATTAACAGCACAACACAATTCCTGGTAACTTTTTTTAAATAGTAATTTCAGCTCAATTTTATCTTATAATCTTCCAATTACAACTCAATTTCTATAAAATTATTTTTAAAAAAATATCAGTTTTAGCAAATAATAGACCCACATGGAATCGATAATTTCAGTGAATTATAAATGGTTGTAAAACAAAGTAGTCAAAATTTAATAATATCTTTTCAAATTTTGAAAAGACCAAAACATAGTGCTTGGATAATAAAATGATCACAAGTTCAGTTGGCGAGTGTGTTGGATAACTGCTTTTGCACAACAAACAATTCATATGCGACTAAAAAACAAAGGGAAGTGTTTAGGGGTTGCACATCACATGCACAATTGATCAAATTACGTAAATTTTTACAGAATTATGTGAGTAATTTTATAAAAATATGTAAGTTGAATATAAATTTGTATAAATTTATTCATATAAATTTTGAAATTTACAAAATCACATAAGTTTTGAACTTAGATTAGTCATCTCACAAAAATATATAATTCAAATCATAAAATTACATAATAAAAAAGCATGCATATGGTATATAATGCACACCTAAAAGTTTTCAAAAAAAAAAAAAGAAAAATCAACAGAGCTACTCTCTATATGTTTGTTTGGCGGATTAGGTTGGCGGAGATTGTTAGTAATGGGATGGTTAGTGAAGAAATTATTAATGTGAGGATTGTTAATAAGAGGATCAAGTAAAAGTGTGTTTATTTTGATAATAGTGTAGAAGATAGTTAATGATGGGATTGTTAAATTCTTTTTAAATAAAATAAATTAAAAAATTATTTTTATATAAAAAAATTAAAATAAATATTAAAACAAAAGGTGCACTTGGGATTGTTAAAAAAATAAATAAATAAAAAGTTGGCCGGCCAGCTTTTTTTTTGGTTGGCCGAATGTTTTTTTTGGCCGACCGGCTATGTTTGTAAAAACAAAATAAAAATAAAAATGCACTGTATTGGATGTCCGGGCGGACAACTAGATAGACTGAAATCGCTCATTATTTTCTTAATCCCACTTGTTTTCCAACCAAGCTAATCCCCTTATTGAGCCGCTCAAATTATGAAACTGACCCTCCCACACAATACCAAAATAACATGTTATGGGTGAGACTCACAACAATCCCACTCCAATCCGGCCATGGGGCCTAAGATTGCACCAAAAGAAATCCGGCAGCAGACAGCAGAGGATCAATCACCAAAGTCAACCACATCTATTTCATACTTCTTTTTATTAGTTTTTTGAATGAGTCTCTTCTTCTTCAATCACCAAAGTCAACCATACTTAATCACGACCAACTAAAATTGGGAGTAGTACAATGGAAGTGGCGTAATATTTATATGACAAGTCTCACTTTTTTAATCATGGGATCAACGTCATGATTAGCATTATACAGGGTGAAAGAAAATTGAGCATACTTAACGTGGATCTAAAATCAGAACAACAATTAACAAATGATTAATCTTCTCAGTGTTGCAATACATTTAAAATTTCAATTTCATTATCATGATCATGTTAAAAAAGGACTTTTTCTCAGAACTTGCCAACTCAAGCAGAGATCTTGAATTCAAAAAAAAAAAAAAAAAAGTAAAAAAAAAAAGTTCACATACTCAAAGACTCGAAGACCTACTTTGTTGTCATACAAAAGTTCTCTAGAAACTTATAAAGACCAGTGGTTGGGCATGTGATTTTTTGTATTAATTGTTTGCATTGTAATTATACGTGTTTTTTAGATTGGAATGTGATGTGTATACAAAGTATGGAGATTTGTACGGTTAAATTAATCTGTATCCAAAATACAACTAAGCAAAAAATGAATACATACCAGCTTAAGAATTTAAATGATAAATGAGAAATTTTATAAATACAAATATTAATTTATAGCTAGATTGTTAAGATTACAATCTTATCTTAAACAATAAACAATAAACAATAAACAAGTTGAAAAATCTAAGTGATACGTGATTAGATTAAGATTTAGGTCTCGTTTGGGAAGGCTCTGTTTTAGCCAAAAAGCCAAAAAGTTACTAAATTAGTCAATTAGCCAATTAGTCATACCAAAAAGTCAACAATTACGGCTTCTCTCTACTTTTTGCACAGCTCTTCGTAATTAGTCAAAAAGTCATCCCAAACATACAAGTTTTTTTTATCTACCTTTTTAGCCAATTAGCCAAAAGTTACTAAATTAGTCTGTTCCCAAACGAGGCCTTAATTACTCTAATTCCCAATGATTCAAAACTCATAATCTAAATCATCAAGCACTTACGAAAGTGATTTAGATTGTTGTTTTCGAAAAATAATAAATCGACACAAACGATTTTTACGTGGAAAAACCACAATTGAAGCACCTTTAATTGTGATCAAAAAAACTGCGGGCGAAACGACACTAATCAATCCACTACTGAAGAAATAAAGATTACAAAGATAACAAACAAATTACCCAAACGCTTCCAATTTGTTTTCAAATCTTCTGTATATCTTTCACCGCAACCTTTGTCTAGGAATTGACTAGATTGAAGTTGAATCTACAACTTCTATTGTCGAATCCACGACTACACACAGTATCAAACTCCTTTAAAACTCTACGCTTGAATCTCCGGATTCCACCTAAGAAGAACACTCTTGAATATAACCAATCAACCTCCTTGATATGTGCTTATCAAAACATGAGTTTAATACTCACTCAAATCATCAAGGAAAACTCACAAAAAATTCCAAAAGAAAACCTCATAAAACCTTAAAATAGATCTCAAAACGTAATCCTAGTTTTGGACTAAAACTAGTATTTATAGAAAACTGGGAAAGCGAAGACTTTCTCGCTCGAGCGAAGAAACAATCATGCATGTTTTCCTTAAGTGGCTTCGCTCGAGCCAAGCTACCTGCACTCGAGCGTACAATCATCCTTCTCAGGCTTTTTACAAACCCAGCCTTCGCTCGAGCGAGAACTCCTTTGCTCGAGCGAGTAAGACAAAAAACTAAGAAAAATTACAACTCAATAAAACATGTTTGTCCACAAGATTGACAAGACTAAGGAACCTAACAATCTCCCCCTTTGTCAATTCCCGGACAAAACATTCTAACAATTTCCTAGTCAAACACAAGAACTAAAGAAAACAACCAACCTAGCTTAACAAAACAACTTGAACCAAATATCTGCAAAAATAGAAAATCATCACCAAGAAAAAGAATGAGAAAATATAGAGAATAAAAAAATATATTAAGACATAACACATAGGGCATAACGTAAGCAAAAACTAGTCCAGTGCTGCCTGCAAAATCCACAAAGAGTATGCAAAATCAACATATATCCCATATATACCCCCAAAAAATTACCAAACAATACTCCCCTTTTTTGTCCGAGAGAGACAAAAGAAACAGTTATATACAAACCATAAGAAATAAAAACAAACTGTCCAAAAAGCACAGTCCAAATACTATAAAAAACTAGGAGTTTGATGGAGGTGGCTGCTGTATCTGGAGCAAGGAAAGAATCTGGGCTAGCATT